CAAAAGTGTGTATAGTCGAAGCTATGGTTTTTCCAGTAGTCTTGTATAGATGTGAGAGTTGGAACCTAGAGAAGACTGAACACTGAAGAATTAATGCTTTCAAATTATGGTGCTGGAGAAAACTCTTGAGAGCCCCTTGGACAGCAAGATCAAACTAGTCAATCCTAAAGGAAATCAACCCTGAATATTCATTGGAAGGACTGATGCTGAAGCTCCAATATTTTGACCACCTGATCCACCTCATTGAAAAAGACACTGATACTAGGAAAGATTGAGGGTGGGAGGAAAAGGGGACGACAGAGGATGAGATGGTTGGATGGCATCACCAACTCAATGGACACGAATTTGAGCAAGCTCTGGGAGATGGTGAAGGACAGACAAGCCTGGCATGCTGCAGTCCATGGGGTCACAAAGAGTCAGACACAACTGAGTGACTGAACAGGAACAACAAAGGCCTGAGAAAAGTGAGGCGACGTCCCTGAGGGTCCCTGGGCAGGACGAGCAGGGCGGAGGGTCAGGAAGAGCACAAGATTTGAGACTTCACCTGAGCACGAAGGGGAGATTTTGGCACCTTTAGGAAGAGGTGTCCATGGTCCAGGCACCCATTTGCTGTGCACAGGAATCGAGGATGAAGCCGTTCCACCATTTGGAAAGGGGACACAGCCATCCAGGCATGAGGACTCTGGCTCAGTACAACCCCCTTGCTCTAGGAGATGCCTTGGACCCCACGATGTGACCGGAGGAGGCCCCGGGCCCCAGCTGTCCGTGTCTGTGGCCCAGCTGCCTGGCCCTTCCCGACACGGAACCTCCTCCTGCTCTTGTCCCTGAGGAAGCCCCCGTTCCTCCTCTGTCCCTCAAGTCTGGAATTATTTATCCAGAAGGAAATCCGTGGAAGCTTCCAGGGATTCAGCCAGCACCCCCAACCTCCTTCCACTGCTAACAGAAAGTGTTGGGAGGCCCAGGTCCTTCGTCAGGAACACAGGTGTCCCTAGTCACCTGTAGGGACAAGAAAGCCACGTGACCGAGAGCAACAACTCGCCTGGGGGCTGGACACCTCCTGGCAGGTCCACATGTGGAGATCAGGGGCCATGGAGTCAGAACCCTCATGTGGGGATGCTCGGACGCCTGGACTGTGGGCCAGTGGGGCTTGGAGGCCAAAGGGCACAGCAAGTATGGAGCTCCCACACACACACACACTGCCTCCTGGACAGGAGGAGAAAGTGGGCGGAGGGGACATGGATGGGACAGGACTCGGCTCAGAGCTTCCAGGGTGCACGTTGGTGCCCCACCTGGCTCCTAGAACCAGCAGTCTTTTAACCACAGACCCATGGGCCTGGCTTCCAACGACTGCCCTCACTGGCTCCCACTTTGGCCACGTCCTGAGTCAAAACATCTGCTGCACGCCCACCGCCTCGGGCTGAGTCAGAGCCTCCCTCCCTCCACCCAACCCGCAGCCCACGCCTGGCTCCCCGCCCAGCTTCCCTGCCCCCACCACGGCCGAGGGGCCAGAACAGACGTCAGTGTCCAGATGGCAGTGGTCTGCCTGGCCTGGGTTGCTTCTGAGGTCAATTAAATCAGACTGGTGGTCTCGGGCCAAGCCGAGGAGGGAGCCATGATGCTTGCCACCTTCCTGCGCCGCCCCCACCCCCTACCCCAGCTCCTGGAGTCCCTTCGAGCCCCTCCCCGCCTCAGCACCACCCGCACCCAATGCCCCCAACAAGCCACCCAGGCGCCTTGTTCCCAAAACTGGTCACAGAGGGCGGTATTGACTCAGGAAGCTGCCTGCCGGGAAGTAACCCTGCCTTTAAAAGAACGGAAGTGAGGCTGGACCTAGAGAAGTGCCTTGAGCGTGGACGTAAGGCCTTCAGGAGCAGGACCCCTAGTGAGAAGATGGACCTTGGCCTCCCACTGTCCCGAAGGGCACTTTCTCCTCCGCTTGTAAGAGAAGCTGGCCCCGAGAGGTTGAGCAGAGCCCTGCTCGCCCCGTGAGCGGGGCCCCGACAGGCCGCAGTCCAGTCGGACGCGGGGAGCCGCTTCCTGAGCCCAGCCTCCACCTGCAGGACGAGATCCATGTGCTGGGCAGCAAGTTGATGAGGCCTCCAGGGTGGAGGCAGAGAGTGTCCCAAAGCCGAGACCTGGAGGAAGATCCTTCCCTCAGGCTTGAGCCGAGAGGCCCCTGGAGGGGGTTCTCAGCCTGGCCATGTTAGCTGTCCCACATCCCGATAGCCGGGACCCAGCGGGGACCCGCTCGCTCTGACCGGGTGAGCCTTCTGATCTAGACCCTTTCCCTTTCTGTCATCTTCTCATTTCCTTTCTTTTTTTTTAATTATTTTAATTGGAGGCTAATTACTTTACAACATTGTAGTGGGTTTTGCCATACGTTGACATGAATCAACCATGGGTATACATGCGTTCCCCATCTCATGTCCTTCCCTCTCCTGCCCCATTCTTAGTTTTTCTTTCCACGTACAACCCCCGTGCGTGCGTGCTCTGTAGCTTCAGTCATGTCCGACTCTGCAACCCTGTGGACTGTAGCCCACCAGGCTCCGCTGTCCATGGGGTTCTCCAGGCAAGAATACTGGAGTGGGTAGCCATTTCTTCCTCCAGGGGATCTTCCTGACCTAGAGATCAAACCGGCATCTCTTACGTCTCCTACATTGGCAGGTGGATGCTTTATCACTAGTGCTACCAGGGAAGCCCCATAATTCCCCTCCTTTGCCCTTAATCAGGACTGGACAAAAGGAAGCAGGCAGGGCATAGCCCTGTTGGGCCACATGGCCAGCCCTCCAGTCAGTGGGTGATGCTAGTCCCCAGCAGCCGGCTCAGCCAAAGACCATCCACAGCAGAGGGACCTCGACTATTCCCTGAGCTCATGGAGGAAGTGAGGGGACCAATCTCTGGCCCCAAAACACTGACCATGCCCCCAAAGCACTCACTCTCTCATGTCACTTCTTGCTTCTGCTTATTCGTTTCCTTGAGTCTATTTCTTCTCCACCTTTCAGGCTCGCTGTGTCCATCTCTGTCTCTGTGTATCTGTCTCCCCCACCCCACACCGCCCACATACAGGACTTTGTGTTGTTGTGAGTGCTCCTGACAAACTGACTCTGTTCATTTATCTTCCATGAACTCCTCTTGTTGGTTGTCTGCTTGAATGACTGTTTCTCCCAAGGAAGATAAAACAATCCTGATGATCTTGCAATCAGCCCCGTGTAGTGTGAGTTCTGCAGGTAACAGCACATGGCGGGCCGTCGGGCTGCAGATAAACAACAGCGAGGCTCCTGAGGCTCCAACCACTCCCTGCATGACTGCCAGCACAAACGGGGCTCCCCAGTTCAGCCCCCAGAGTCCTGCAGGGGACACGGATCTGATCCCTGGTCAGGAAACTAAGGTCCCATATTCTGGGCAGCACAGGCAAATAAAAAACAAAAAAGTTATGCTTAAAAAAGCATTAAAATCCCAAAGGAAGAATACTGAGTGTTTAAGAAATAAAATAAGTAGTTTTAATTATTCTGTCTTGGCCAAGGCTCATTGGGCTGGGCCAGGTGACCCAGGTGGGCCCTCTGAGTCAGCCCTTCCGGTCCCATTCAGGATGGGGTTGACCAGAAGACTTCAAGCTTCTACCCAGGGATGTTAAGAGTACGGGCAGCTCTGGTTGTTTTCAGGGCGCATCCCAGATGGAAGCAGTAGCCAAAGCCCCAGCCCTAAGTGTGTATGGAGGCCTTGTGCCCCTTGCCCACAGAACCCCTGAAACACAGAGCTCCTAGGTGTTCATGCAGGGCACAGGCCCCTGACCAACCAGAAGCTTCCTGTGTGCATGTGTGTGCATGTGTGTCTGTGTCGTCTCCATGTTCTGTCCTGGCCTGCTGGCCATGTCCTAGACACCCGCCCCCTCCAGGCACGTGGGTGGACCTGGCAGCCAGTGCCCCTCAGGGAGCAGGGACGGCTCTCGACCGTGGTCCATAAGTGACCTGAGAGGTGTCCTCTCTCTTCCCTCCTCCTCCCGTCCCTCACCCTGTGTCCCCACCAGTCCGTAAAAAGGACACCTCCCAACTTGCTTTGGGAAAAAAGGAATTTGCTGAGAAATCTATTACCAAAGAAGAATTTTCAGCCTGCGAGCAAATGTCTGGTTGTGCACAATTCCGTCCTTCAGAAGCCCTATTATACGTTGTCCTTGTTTGTACCTTGAGAACTAAACACAGGAGCAACCCTCTGACAGTGGAGGGCGGCTGTGGAGGTGGAGTGAAGGTGGAGTCGGCGGCTCTGGGCGCCAGGACTGTCCAGGGGCCAAAGGGCAGGGTGCCTCCCCGGGTGCAGCTCTGGGCTGCCGGGAATGCTCGCCTGAGCCCAGTCCCCGGCCCCCAAACGAGTCCCCGGTCAGACCTGTGAGGACAGCTTCCCAGGGCATTAACACTAATGTCCTCAATTGTGTGCAGGGCTTTCAAATTTAAAAACCAAGTCCACACTCATATCTCATGCCTGTGACCACGGTCCACACCTGGGGACCAGGAACCTCAGCTCGAAGGCTGGCCCTACCGCACAGGGGGTACCCAAACCTCGGTCCTCCCCGGAACCTGGAGGGTCACCGCCCCGGGACTCCATTGCTCAAATGCCTGTGGGCCAAAAGCGGCCGGGGCACAGGCAAGGCCTTTCAGCTTCAGCTGGCAGTGCTGGGTGTGTGCAGTGCCAGCCCCTGGAGGCTATCTCAGGACACAGGGCTGATTAAAAACACACAAAATCCACCTTCAAAATCCAGAAGACCTCAGCAATAACGAGTATGAATTAGTCAGTCTGCCACCAGAGATGGTTCCAGGCAGAACACCCAAGAGCCTGGCTGGGGGGAGCTGGTGGCGGTCACGCCCCGCGCCTGCCAGGCTGGGCCCCGCGCCTGGCCCTCCTGCCTTCTGCTGCCACTGGGTTGCTCCTGTGTCGCCGAGACCTGGAACGCGGGCCTCTTCGTGGGAGACTCATTACAGCTTATCTCTGTCTGCCTTTCTTTAAAGCCAGCTGAACATACCCAATGCTCTCCCTTTATGGTAAGACCAAGCCTCCAGACCACGCTCTCAGCTTCTGTGACCCCCCCTAACATCCCCACTGCCCCCCCAACCCCCGGCGTCTCGGAGCCCGGCCCCGATGCATGTCACCCACCCGTGTCTGCCATGCGCCTTGCCTGCCTGGTCTGCGAGCTGTCAGTGCTGTTGGTGTGATGTTTCGTCCGTGAGCTTTCCTGTGGGTGGCAGTTCACTGTGACCTTGACCGTCTGAAAAGCCACTGGGAGAGAATCAGACCGGAGGGCCAGTTCCTGTTAAACATCCTGAGGACCCTGCTCGTTGGCATCTCCAACCTTAATATGATGTGGGGCTTGCACAGGACACCAGCCGGGGCCATGGCGAGGCCCCTGGGAACGAGGAAGGAGAGTTGATGTAGTGGAGGTGGAGAGTCATTGGGTCCCTCCTGATCACCAGCTCCTGGGATCTCTGATCAAGGCCCCAACGAGAGGTTAAGTTGGGATCCTTAGCTATGAGAGACATTAGAACTGAGCCACACGCCTGCGTCCCTGAAGCAGGCCATGTGGTCAGGGTCACTCCTGCTGCAGGAGTCTTTGGCTAAAGTGAGAGAGCAGCCACTCTGAGTGACCTTGAAGTCACCTTGGAGCAGCTGTCTCCAAGAGGCTGCAGTGAGACTTCATACGTGGAACGATTGTGAGTTTGTAGAAAGACTGGAGTGTGGGTTGATTCCCCAGGCCCCGAAGTGAGCAGATGAGGCAAGACCCAGGGTGGCGTTCCCTGACAAAGCCCATGCCCATGGCTGGAAGAGCTGACCCTGGGCGTCCTGCCCCCTCGCCTGGTCAGTAAAGCATTGGGCACCTGCAGCGTTGGGTGCCCAGGACCACTCAGGCTGCAAGCTCGAGTTTGGCTGTTTAACAAGTCAGATGTTGATGCCCCTGCGGCACCCACTTCCCAAACTCGCCGCACAGCTGAGGCTCCATGTGAGTTGGTGCTTTCTTCTTCCTCTCCTTCCGAGCGTGACGGGGGGCCGACGGCTGAGTTACAAAGCCCTGAGCCTCCTCTGCACCTTCCTCTGGTGGGCACAATCTCCTTTTAAGGAGAGAAAGTAGAACTTCAAGTAGGTACACAGATGATAGAAATGCAAAGAGGAAGGGCATCAAAGACTTCAAACCACACAGGCAGGCGGTTTCCTGTGTTGGGGGCGGGGCGGGGGGGGGCGCGGCCTGCTGCCAGCTCCTCCCAGCCCCGGCACTGCCTGGAGAGCAGCTTTGGTTCAGAAAGAGAAGGGCAGGTGTGCCTCTCCCGGGGCGGAGCAGGGTGTGCTGGTAAACCTGCCCCTTGGGGGTGTCCTGTTGTGTTGGAGGTGAAAGGAGAGGCCCCTGGAGCAGCCGCAGGGTTAGACACAGGGGACATGAGGGCTCCCGTGCTGGTAGGATTTTCATGGGTATTGTCAGGCCCGATCTGACCTGGAGACGGTTAGAAGTAAAGCCAAAGGAGCTGGGAGTTGAGAAGCGGGGGCCACACAGGGCTCAGCAACAACCCAGGGACGCCTCCAAGCAGGGGCCCTGTGGCAGGAGCAGTAACAGGAAGCCCAAAGGTCCCTTCTCTCCCGGTGCCACAGGGCTGGGGGCTGTACTAGGGCTGGGGGCCAGCCAGCTCCCGGGGCCAGCACCCCCAGCTCTCTGTCCCACGTGGGCAGGGAGGGTCAGGGGTCTGTCTGTGCTGAGTGCCCCTGAGGTCTGGAGGCAGACGGTGACAGGGCAGCCGGTCTTGTCCCTAGACCTGGCCAGGTGCCTGCCGGCTAGGCCCCCGCCCCCTCCAGGACACCCTGAACAGGGCCCCTTGGTCCCCTCACACCCAGGCCAGACTCATCCAGGGCTCACTCTTGCTGCCCTGGCCCTCCCAGCTCGTGCCCCCCACCCTTCAGGTCTGCAGCCTAAAACCCAGGCCCAAGACGGGTGGAGGGCAGCAGGGGGACAGCCAGGTCTGGTCCCAGCACCAACACCCCGGGGCGGCCTGCAGCCTGGGCCGGGGGGGCCGTGGAAAGTGGGGGAGATGACACCTAGAGTGCCGAGTCTGGGCAGCCAGGGAGCAAGACCCTCCATGGGCAGCCCACCCACCCACCAGGACCCCAGTGCCACCTGGCAGAGAGCCAGCCGGTCCCACTGGGAATGAAGGACCCTGAGCCGGGCCGGGCAAGAGGGAGGCTGGGGCCCCTGGGGTGGTTCTCAGCCTAGATCTCAAAGCAGATGGAACTGCTACAGAATCACCTGTCCCCCCCCAAGGAGGCGGGGAAGATTAGGGGTGCTGGGGAAGACGATCGGGGCCAGGGCACTGCTGGGCGCTGCCAAGGCCAGGGGCTGGCCCGCCCACCCCTGGGCGCCTGAGAGTCTAGTGCAGCCCACCACCCCGCTCGCCTCTACCCCCACCCCGGGCCGTGCCGAGCAGCCTCGCCCGCCCACCCGCCTGGTAACTGCTGTGTTAACGGCCCCAGAACGCGGAGGAGAACTCTCGCATCTCCATCACCTTCTTCCGCCTCTTCCGGGTCATGCGTCTGGTCAAGCTGCTGAGCCGTGGGGAGGGCATCCGGACACTGCTGTGGACCTTCATCAAGTCCTTCCAGGTAGCCAGCCCTGCCCACCCCACCCCAGGTCCTCCCGGACGGTGCTCCCAGCTTAGGCATCGTCAGCATGGGGCAGTCACCCCCTCCCAGAGGCGGTCCAGCAGGGTCTGCTCATCACTCCCGCTTACAGACTTCACCAGACCCCCTAGGACCTGCTGTCCCCAAGGGGCCTCAGGGCTGCCAACTGCAGGGTTGATCTCTGCTCTCAAGAGTCACTTCCTCCTGAAAGTGGGATAGCTGGCCCTGGCCCTGTCCTCTCTAACGAGTCTCATACACATCTGAGGTTGGAAGAAGCACAGTTGTTAGGTCCCCGAACTTCCTGAAGATGCTGGCGTAGGGACCCCTGTACCTGAAACTCCTGACTGCAGGTTTCCTGAGACAGAGATCCCCAGTGTGGAGGGGCCCAGGGACAGGATCGGGGTGGGTTCTGACCCAAACATGTAGGACTGAAGTTGCAGCCAGAGGAAGAGGCTGGGCTGTCGGGGCACTCCACCCCATCCACCAGGACAGGTGCCTCCCCACCCCCTCCCAGCCATCTGCTCCAGGGATCTGAGTGGTTTCAGTGGGGGTCAGGCCTGGGCCTACCCCAGCAACCAAGAGCCACGGGTGACTGCAGACCTCACAAACTCACCCACCCCCAACAGTTTCTGGGCTGGGAAGGGGGCTGAGGAGCAGGCCTGAAGGTGGACGGACACTCCATGGGCCTGAGGCACCACCTGGAGGTGTGTGGGCTCTGTCCATGCTCTGTAAGCCCAAGGCCTCCCCAGGAGGAGGCAGGGACACTGAGCAAGTAAGATGCAGGAACCAGCCACAGGCCAGTGCTACCTGAACATTTTGTGAGCCTTAAGTCAGCCAGACCCCCAAATCCCTGAGGTCACTACTCCTCCTCCCATTTCTCAGGTAAGGACACTGAGGCTCAGAGAGGTTAAGCCCGCCCAGGAAGCAGGCTTGAGCTAGCGTCTTGTCTTGTTTAGGGCCCTTTGGTCCTGCCTTTGCTCCACCTGGGGAACAGCTTACAGCTGTGGGGGGACTGGTGGGTATCCCCCCGGCCCTCCGGCTGCATGAGGACAGGTGGGTGGCTGGAGTGCGTTGTGCTCACTCTAGATTGTTTCTGCCGAGGGAGCATCATGCTGTCTCAAGCTCAGCGCCCAGTTTTTTGGGTCCCTCGCCCCAGATCTCAGGTGCCTGAAACCATGGGGAGGGGTGGGGTCAAAACCAGACTCGGGCTCCCCTCAGTACCCAAAACATCCGTGGGGCTTCTGGAAGTGTCCCCTGAGCCTGGCAGCAGCTGGTGGCTGCAGAAATGCTGCTGCAGGGAGGGGTCCCGCCACCGGCCTCACACATGCATGTCCCGCAGGCCCTACCCTATGTGGCCCTCCTGATCGTGATGCTGTTTTTCATCTACGCTGTGATCGGGATGCAGGTAGGACGGGCTTCTAGCCTCTAGCCCACTTCCCCTGATGCCCCGCTTCTGGGGTCAAAGAGGTCACCAGAAATGTCACTCCTCCTCCCACCCCCATGGTGTCCTGTGGGTGCACAGCTAAGAGACCCTCTCTCCCCGTGGCCCCCAGCCTGGGTTCCACTCTCTATAGGGAGAAACTCCCCCAAGTTACACAATGAATTGTTAATTATTCTTCAATGAAGTTTTATTTTAAGAGAAAAGAAAATGTTGTCAAGAATCTGCAGCCAAAAGAGAAAGAGGAAGGCCAGTGAGCCTTGCCCCTGCGCGGACACAGAGTCTCGGTCTCCGCCTCTACCCGCTCTCCCAGGGCCCCTCCCAGGGGCTGGGGGTGCTATTCTTGAATGTTTGCCCAAAGTGGGGGCCTGGGATGGGGGCTGGAAAAGGCAGCAGGTGCCTGCCCCCATGAGGCCCTCTGGGTCCCAAAGGGGACTTTGTTCAGCTTATGAGCCAGTCTGTCCAGGGTCAGCTGTGACCCCTGAAAAGACCATTGGATGCTGGGTGGGAACCATGACCACAGTGTCCATGGCTCACTGATCCCATCCTCTCCCCTGCCAGGTGTTTGGGAAAATCGCCCTGAATGACACGACAGAGATCAACAGGAACAACAACTTCCAGACCTTCCCCCAGGCTGTGCTGCTCCTCTTCAGGTGGGTTTTCTGACAGCCAAGGCCCGATGCAGCCAAATAAATAAATATTTAAAAAAGGAAGACAACCTCTTTCATGTACAGATAATGTTCTTGTCTGGGCATCCTGCCATAACAAATGCCACGGACGGATGGAGAGGTACAAACAGCACGTGTGTTTTCCTCACATTTCTGGAGGCTGGAAGTTCAAGGTCAGGGTTACCAATGATTCCCATCCTGGTGGGAGCCTCTTCCTGGGCTGCAGACAATATCCTGATCCCTGTGTCCCTGCTCCGTGGGGAGAGAGGAGAGCACGTCTCTTTCCTGTTATAAAGATGCTGCTCTCACCACACACCACCAGCCCAACGACCTGTTCTAAACCTAAGTGCCTGCCAGCACTGTCACACTGATGTTTGGGGCTGCAACATGCAAATTCTGAGGGGACACAGACATTCCATCCATATCAGGCAGTAGCTAATCCATAAATATAATAGATGAGCTCATACACCATCACTGTCTCAACACGATACTACAAGTTTTATCCCGTGCAATAAGACGAGAAAAGTAAACAAAGGGTAAGAATTCGAGAAGAAACAGAATTAAATGCCAAAGAAATGGATTGCCGAAGACAACGAGAAACAGTCCAACTTAAAAATGAGCAGAGAAGTTGAGTATTGCTCCGAAGAAGATATGTGAATGACCAATGAGCACATGAAAAATGTTCAACATCACGAATCATCAGAGATATGCAAATTAAAACTACACTGAGACACCACCGCACCCCATCAGGATGGCTACTATGAGAGCACAAGTCCTGCTGAGGGGGTGGAGATATTGGAACATCTGTGCAATACTAGTGAGAATGTAAAATGACAACAGCCACTGTGGAGGAACAGTATGATGGTTCCTCAAAATATCAAAAATAGATTAAAAATTCTGTATGACCCAGCAATTCCACATGTGAGTATATACTAATACCTAAAAAATCAAAAGCAGGGTATCAAAGAGATACCAGCACCCTTATCTTCATGGCAACAGCATTCACAGTAGCTACAGCATGTCAGCAACTGCAGGTCCTTTGAGAGAAGAATGGATGAGCACAATGTGGTTACAACACAGTGGAACGTGATTCAGCCTTAAAAAGGAAGGAAGTTCTGACTCCTGCTATGACATAGACGAACCTTGAGGCCATGATGCTCAGTGAAACAAGTCATAAAAGGCCAGGTTTCCTGTACGATTCCACTTACAGGAGGTAGTTGGTCAAAATCATTGTTGTCGCTCAGTCGCTCAGTCATGTCGGATTCTTTGCGACCCCATGGACTGCAGCACGTCAGGCTTCCCTGTCCTTCACCATCTCCCAGAGTTTGCTCAAACTCCTATCCGTTGAGTCGGTGATGGCATCCCACCATCTCATCCTCTGCCTTCCCCCTCTCCTCTTGCCCTCAATCTTTCTCAGCATCAGGGTCTTTTCCAATGAGTCAGTTCTTCACATCAGGTGGCCAAGCTGAGTTTCAGCTTCAGCATCAGTCCTTCCAATGAATATTCAGGACTGATTTCCTTTAGGATTGACTGGTTTGATCTCCTTGCTATCCATGGGACTCTCAAGAGTCTTCTCCGACACCAAAGTTCAAAAGCATCACTTATTCGGCACTAAGCCTTCTTTATGGTCCAACTCTGACATCCATACATGACTACTGGAAAAAGCATAACAGCTTTGACTATATGGACCTTTGTTGGCAAAGTAATGTCTCTGCTTTTTAATATGCTGTCTAGGTTTGTCATAGCTTTTCTTTCAAGGAGCAAGTATCTTTTAATTTCATAGCTGCAGTCACCATCTGCAGTGATTTTGGAGCTAAAGAAAATAAAATCTGTCACTGCTTCCACTTTTCCCCTTCCGTTTGTCATGAAGTGATGGAACCAGATGCTATGATCTTAGTTTTTTCAATGTTGAGTTTTAAACCAGCTTTTTCTCGCTCCTCTTTCACCCTCATTGAGAGGCTCTTTAGTTCCTCTTGGCTTTCTGTCATTAGAGTGGTATCACCTGCATGTCTGAGATTGTTGATGTTTCTCCCAGATATCTTGATTCCAGCTTGTGATTCATCCAGCCCAGCATTTCACTTGATGTACTCTGCATATAAGTTAACTAAGCAGCGTGACGATATACACACTTGACATACTCCCAATTTGCAACCAATCCATTGTTCCATGTCCAGTTCCAATTGTTGCTTCTTGCCCTGAATACAAGTTTCTCAGGAGGCAGGTAAGGTGGCCTGGTATTCCCATCTCTTTAAGAATTTTCCAGTTTGTTGTGATCCACACAGTCAAAGGCTTTAGTGTAGTCAATGAAGCAGAAGTAGATGTTTTCTGGAATTCCCTTGCTTTTCACTTTCTCCCAGCGCAACCAATAATAAATGTGTAAATTTTTTTTTTAATTTGGTTACCTGGACAGAAGAAGATAAAGCATATTTCTATCTCCTATGGAACCCCAAAATAAATTTCATAGTAAACTTAATAGTGTTACTATGAAAGTATTATGAAAATCCTTTTAGATCATATAAAAGATTCTTTTAGATCATATAAAAGAATATTTTTACAACCTAGAATACAGCAAGATCTTTCAGACATGATGCAAAAAAGTACAAAACTAAAGAAAAATAACAATTTGACCACACTGAAATTTAAAACTTCTATTCTTTATAATACACCTTCAGTGGAGCTGGGAATGAACCACAGAATGGAAGACATTGCTTGCAAGGTTTGTGACTGACAGAGGATTCATATAAAGAATGTATGAAGATGCTGCAAATGAACAGGAAGACAGATAGCCCAGGAGGCAGATGGCAAACACCTGCCATTTCAGCAGATGAAATAAAATTTCTCATCATTTTAAAACCAAATTAAAACAGCAGTAAATTTTTATTTCACACCCATCACATGAACAATATTTTTTAAAATTCACTAATACCAAGAATTGACACATCTAAACTCAGAATAGAAGAGGAAAGAATGGAGGGGTGGGGAAGGGGGGTGGAGGCATGGGGGAGGGGCTAGTAAAAGGCACAAACTCTCAGCTGTTCAGATGAGTGAGGTCTAAGGTCCAACCTGTAAAATGGTGACTGTAGTTGATGACTCGGATCGCATCACTGAAACTTGCTAAGACAGTAGAACTTAAATGTTCTCACCAAAAATAAAAGATAAACCTGCGAGGGGATGGGTGTGTTATTAGGTGGGAGGAGCCCTTTCTGATGGGCACGCACGTCAGATCGTTGTGATCTACACTCTAGCTCACAGTCTGGTTTGTCAGTCACGCCCCAGTGAAGCTGAGGAAAGAGCTGGCACATTTGTAGAGCAGTGGTGTCTCTCCTGCCTAATGCCAGAGCCTGAATCAGATGACGCTTGGAAAACAAGCAGGGTCAAGCATCGGGAGGACCCACCTGCTGTCCACTGGCGAGTCCACCTGGAAGCCGGCTCCCACAATGGCCCTGCGTGGTGGCTGCAGGCTCCCTGGTGATAGCACAGGAAGGAAAGCCTTATCACTTGGGCTTTAATGGAATACAGAGCACCTGCTACACAGGGTGACTGAATCAGAACTAAAATGCATCCAGGTGGCTAAATCTCAACACTTAACAGAGATTGCAGAAAGAGGAACTTTTCAGAAAAGACGCGATCTGTTACCTTTCCCTGAAAACTTTCAGGCGTGCAGTGCTGTATGTCTTCATATTCTGTGGATATTCCAGTGCTGGGGGACTGAGAAGCCCAGACCCAATTTAGTGGTTTCCCCCAGGAGGAGGGCTGTGTGAGCCGCTCTGGGCGTGGTCTCTCGCAGGTGCGCCACCGGGGAGGCCTGGCAGGACATCATGCTAGCCTGCATGCCCGGCAAGAAGTGCGCCCCCGAGTCAGAGCCGGGCAACAGCACGGAGGGGGAGACGCCCTGTGGCAGCAGTTTTGCCGTGTTCTACTTCATCAGCTTCTACATGCTCTGCGCCTTCCTGGTGAGCAGGGTGGGGCCAGCGGCCTCGGGTGCTGGGTGTGCGGTCCCGGCCGGGCTGGCAAGCCTGCGTCTCCGGAACAGTCCAACACGCTGGGAGGGGCAGGAGCTGGGCTGGGTGAGCTCAGCCATACCCTTCTCGCCCATTCTTGGCTCCTACCTTCCTCCCCGAGGACAGGAGGCTGCTTCAGCATGTCTGGCACTTTGATGAGGAGCGAGGGAAGGGTGGTGGACAGTGTCCCCTGTCCTTGGCAGCCCTGCCAGGCAGCTGGGTGTGAGGGGAAGCTGCCAGCCCACAGTGGGGTTCATGCCGCATCACTGAGGGGAGCTGGTCAGGTCCTCAGTCAAGAGAGCCACGTCCCGGGGGCCGGTGTTTCCATGGTGCCATGTGGCTGGCCTTTCGGGAGCGCTGGCCTCCAAGCACGTGGCCCTGACAGCCCCACGTGCGGGAAGGGCCACTGAGGCAGCTCTCCACACCCATCCTCTGCAGATCATCAACCTCTTCGTAGCCGTCATCATGGACAACTTTGACTACCTGACGAGGGACTGGTCCATCCTGGGTCCCCACCACCTGGACGAATTTAAGAGAATCTGGGCAGAGTACGACCCCGAAGCCAAGTGAGTGCCCAGGGGGAAACCCGAGCCCCCAGCCCACATGTGGGAAAGAGGGTCAAGACGGGTTAGCACTGGGCGGACCCACTGCAAATCCTGACCTGCACAGGATGCCAGGACCAAGGGTCAAGGGCCAGGAATAGGAGGCCTTAGGCTGAGTCAAGACCATGTCAGCTATTTTCCGTTGAACAGGCAGGCAGTCCTGGTGTTGCAGCAACCTGTATGTACTTGAGTCAGGACGTCTGGGCAGGGCAGGGCCTGGCTGTATCCCTGCCACAGCTCCATCAGTCCAGCCATCATGTTTGGTTGACTCTCAGGAAAGTGTGAGATGGTCAGATGGTTGGTTGATAAAAGCAGCAGTAAATACTGAGAATTTCATTGCCTGCTAAAATCCCTTCCACCTTTCATTGCCTACTGAAATATAGCACTGATGGAAAATTGCTCCTTAGAAATCTAAACATGTAGACTGTTTTTGGAGTTTTACCACCCAGTTCTACAGCTCGGCACCAGTTTGATCACTAGGGTCCAGCTGTGGAGAGTTCCTCCCACAGGAGACCCCACCCTTGGGCATAGGAGTCCTGGGCTGCTGGCCTAGGCCTTCCCCCTGACGTTTCCTCCTCTCCTGCCTCTTCCAGGGGACGCATCAAACACCTGGATGTGGTGACCCTGCTCCGACGGATTCAGCCCCCCCTGGGTTTTGGGAAGCTGTGCCCTCACCGCGTGGCTTGCAAAGTAAGAGATGGACTGGGCTCTTGGGAGACACAGCATGGAGGGCGAGACACCTCCAGGTACCCCTGGCAGGCCAGTGAGCCTCTACAGGGATGAGGGTAGTCCTCATGAGCCTAAAGCAAGGACTGAGCCAGAACAGGCACTGGGGCTCCTTCCTGCTACAGATACGTCCTCAGACAGTGAGGGAACCATGGGTTGACGTGCACACATGTTTTGAGGCTCCCTCCACCCCACTCCCACATCCTCCTGCCTTGGAGGTACCTCAGGGGTTCCACAGGCGGGTCCTTCGAGAACCAGCGGCTGTGCTGACTGCTGCGCCCCCTCCCCAGCGCCTAGTCTCCATGAACATGCCCCTGAACAGCGACGGGACCGTCATGTTCAATGCCACGCTGTTTGCCCTGGTCCGGACGGCCCTGAGGATCAAGACGGAAGGTAAGGTCATGGGGGTATCCGGGAGCCCTAGTGGACCAGCCAGAGCAGAGTTCGGCACCTGCGGTGTCCCAGGGCCTCCGGCCCTTGGGGTGTCAGAGCTGCAGCCCAGCGTGATCCTCCCCCACCCCCCTGCCCTGGGGACATCAGCAGAACCAGGCCTGCTCAGGCGGCCTTTGTTCCTTGAGTGGCCTCCTTGCCTGTAACTTTTACAGACTCTCCCAGTGACCCTTCAGGTGAAGCTCAGACGGCAGGAGGTAAGCGCTTCCTGAAGCTGGCCGAGCCTTTGCACTGTGGGGCTTTACCGGCTGCAGGTGGATCTCAGATGTTCAGCTTTCCTTGCAAAGTAAACCCTTGTCTCATCAGGAAGGGGTCACAGTGGACGTGACCATGGTCCAGGTCAGCACAGGCCCGCCCACATACATGTGCACAGCCAGCCCGCAGGTGGGGTCAGAGCCCCCTGCACTTGTTCAGGGCCATTTCACTTGGAGGCAGGGACCGTCTTCTGGTTTGTACCGTAGCAGCCCGTGGCCAGGAGCAGCTGGACTGTGCTGACCCGCCGTCTTCATGGTCAGTTGGTGTCAGAACTGCTCTGGGAGGGCAGAGGTGCACCTAGGGAGCTGCGGCTGCTCCCAGCCTCCTGCAGCAACTCTTGGAGCTGGGGTGTGCTTGAGACGGAGTCCCAGCACCTGCCCTGAACACTGAGTCTGCATCCCGTGCCAGCCGCGAGCATGGGTCACCTGAGCAAAGTCTGAAACCCAGCAGCACAGTCACTAGAGAAAACCCGGAGGTGTCGTTTTTCCCTTCAGACCTTTGGATCTGAGTCTCAGGCTGCCCACCCCATCTCCCAGAGGAGCCCTGGACGGGAGGACGAGGGGGCTAGACTGTGACAACACACGACACTCTCTCCACCTCAGTTTCTTTGTGAAACAAGAAGGCGGTGACGTGTGGCATTCAGTTCAGTGGACAAGCCAAGAGGTGCCTTCCCTCAACTAAATCCCCCCACAAAATGACAGAAATATCCACGATGAAGAACAAGAATAGGGTCATCAAGACCCATGTCAAAATTAGGAGCTAATAATAAAAAAAAAGAAAAACTCTTAGTAGTTCAAGTTTGGCTGCTCAATAAAAAGAAACTCAGGCTGAAGAGTGGCCAAGGCCACAGGTCAAGTTGGAATAAGCATGAACAGTCCTGTTTCTGCTGACAAAAGACTGGAACGGATACATGTTGGGTGTACCTGCGTGTGTGACCAGAGGGGCTCAAAAGGAAGCTTGCTGACACGTTAGCTGTGGTTGCCACAAGTGTTGGACCCGGCCATGACTTCTGTTCACTTCTTGTACCTTCTTCCCTTTCCCAAACTTTCCACAATGACTGTGATTACAATTCTGTCCAAGAGGGAAGGTTTGTTTTTCCAAGGAGGGAAGAAATGAAGACTCTTGAAAGGAGCATGCTGTGGTCCTGAAGGCTTGATGTAAAGTGAGCACGTACATTTTCATCCCGTGGAAGAATGCGAAACACTGATGCCTGAAGCCCAGAATCAGTGTCGTCAAGATACTCATCAGACCGAAGCAGGTCCCAGCCGAAGAGCCAGACACGCACAGTCCATCCCAAGGAATGCACTCCTGAGACCAAGAGAGAAGCTGGCCGCGTGGGAGCTAGTCAAGCCAGGAATTAGACGAAATTCGCCCACCAGCAAAGGGCCGGTGTCTCATCCCATCCTGCTCTCCCACTGCCGAGTCGTGTGTCCGCCCAGCCACTGCGGGCGCCCTCTTGGAAGGTCTGGAGTCCAGCCGCGAGGCAGTGACCTCTCTGCTCAGGGACCTCCAGGCCAAAGCCAACCTGTTGACCAGGACGGGTCCTCTTCCCGGGGCTCAGGGGAGATTCCCCATCCAGCCCACTCAGGCTGCCAGCAGACTCACTCCCCGCAGACTGAGACCAGCTCCGGCTGGGCCGCTGCAGCCCCAAGCTCCACACAGTCACGGAGGCCTCCCTTGTCTTTGGCCTACTTCACACGTGATTTTTGTTGGTTTTTTGTTGTGTGCTGTTTTTTGCTGAGGCCTAAGTGACATATAACATTACGTTAGTTTCAGGTGAACAAGATAACGATCCTGTTATTTGTTTATATTGCAAAACAACCACCACACATCTAGACCACACTCATCACCTCACAAGGTTACAATTTTTTTCTTGTGGTGAGGACTTTTAAGATCCTCTCTAAGCAACTTGCAGATACAGAACACAATATTGCTGCAGTTCCCATGCTGTGCTTGACATCCCCAGGACATGTGTGTTTTATAGCTGGGAGTTTGCACCTGAGAGCGCCCCCCCTTGTGAAGGGCTCCTGGAGTGAGCCCAGGCCCCCCGAACAACCTCCCTGCCCTCAGGGCCTGTGTATCGTATCACATCACCTGATCGCAGGGTGAGACCCCATGTTCAGTCCTGGGGCCGTGCAGGGAACGTGCACTGGTGGTGGTGGGCGGGAGCCAGGGGTGTGCTGGCCCCAGCCAGCCTCCCAGTACCCTCTGACAGCTGCGGGCCTCAGCTCTCTGAGAAAGTAGACCCCTAGGGGCACCCGATCTCAGGACCCCGTCTCCTGGTTTCTGCTCCACACGAGGTTTGGCTGCCTCCCCAGGAGGAGACCCAACAGAGGCCTTCGACTCAGAGGCCCCCGGGTATGGACCCCCGCCTCCGCGGGTCTGCAGGGGCACCACTCTTCCTCCCAGTGGCCTTCCTGGCAGGTCGCCATTGGGCTCTGTCTGGCCCTGGCAGCCCCCACGAGAAGAAGCCGCAAGTGGGGTGCAGGGTCACCCCGGCTGCCAAGCAGCAGGTAGGGGGCAGGGGAGAGCTGGCCAAGAGGGCACGGAGGTGGGCCGCGGGCACCTGCAGAGGAAGAGACAGAACCCACGTTCAGGGCCGCTGGGCAGAGCCCTCGGGCAGCCACGTGGGCTCCCACTCAGGGACCAGCCCAGCCCACCGGAGGTCCTGGGGACAGCTGCCAGTCAGCCTGCGTCCCCCCCACAGGGAACCTGGAACAGGCCAATGAGGAGCTGCGGGCCATCATCAAGAAGATCTGGAAACGGACCAGCATGAAGCTGCTGGACCAAGTGGTGCCCCCCGCAGGAGGTGAGTACCCCCCGCTGCCCTGGGCACGTGCAGGTCCCACATTCAGCCTGCGGGAGACCTGCCTGTTCCGACTGGAGCCTGGTCCTAGCCTGAGGTCACTGGGGAAGCCAGGCAGGCCCCTGGATCCCTGCAGGTTTGGGAGAACTTCAAGCAAACTGCAAGGTAGAGGCTTTCCTATAACCCACCCGGCTGGGTGCTGTGGGAATGACAGGGCCCTGGAGGAAGAACCCCCGGGACCCCCTCTTTTATTCCTCCTAAGGTGGGTTATGAGCCCCCGGGACCCCTTTTTGTTCCTCCTTGACAACCCTGTCTAGCTGTCCTGCATATACAATTACTAAAATATAACACTTTAATACAAAATATATTGTTGGATTGGCCGAAAAGTTCATCCAGATTTTTCTGTAAGATGCTCCTTCAGAAAAGCCCAAGCAAACTTTCTGGCCAACTCAATATAATCAAAGTTTTTCAATGAATACATGCTCAGGGGCAATTGTGCCCAAAGCTGTGGGCACCTGGAGCTTCGGGATCACAGAAGTCAGTTAGCAAGCTCAGTTAGGTTTTAAAAGCAAGGTGGGAAATCATTTTGATGATATGCTAATTTTTCTGTGAGAAAGGAGAGGATAATAATATATTTGGGGCTTCCCTGGTGGCTCAGCAGTAAAGACTCTCCTTCAATGTAGGAACTGCAGAAGACTCAGGTATGATCTCCGGGTTGGGAAGATCCCCTGGAGAAGGGAATGGTTATCCACTCCAGTATTCTTGCCTGGAGAGTCCCATGGACAGAGGAGGCTGGTGGGCTACAGTCCGTAGGACGCAAAGAATTAGACACAAGTGAAGCAACTGAGCACGCGTGCAAGAATATATTTGCTTACTTGCAGAAAGTATTTGCATAAAGAATCTCTGGGAAAATACTCAGGAAATGAATGAGAAAGGTTATCTGAAAGGAAACAGGAGTGGAAGGGCTACCCTTCACTGTACACAGGTCTTTTTGTATATTTTTGTCTTTTTCAACCATGTGCGTGGAGAGTGTCTTCTCAAAAAAATTAAATTGATCACTTCTCAACCTTTTGACTAAGATGAAGTGTTGTATCTGTTCTTATCAGTTTAAAAAAGTTAAACTGAGAAAACCTAAGAAGCTGAGGACACTCGGACAGGGTCCAAGCCCCCATTTACCTCCAACCCTGTCCTCCCTTGGCTCTCAGATGACGAGGTCACGGTGGGCAAGTTTTACGCTACTTTCCTGATCCAAGAGTATTTCCGGAAGTTCAAGAAGCGCAAAGAGCAAGGCCTGGTGGGCAAGCCCTCCCAGAGGAACGCCCTGTCCCTGCAGGTGAGGGGCCCTTGCCCCTGGAGGCCTGGCACCTCCTCCCAGCTCCACCAGGCCCCAAGCTCCCACGGGTCCCTTCCTGAAATTCCGAGCCTGCAGGGGGGCCCTTCCCTCCCGCCCTGCCTCCTGCACCCGCTGCCCTGGACTCTCAGCCCCCCTGAGTTCAGGGAGTGGGGAGAAAGCCTGGGGGTCCGCTGACGTCTCTGAGACTGCCCCCCAACGTGCCTGCGCCCCCTGTGGACCCCCGGAGCTGGCCTCCTTGAGGAGAAGCAGAGGGGAAGCTGGGTGGCGGGTCGGGTGGGCGCCTGGGCCCTCACACCCTGTCCCCTTGGCCCAGGCTGGCCTGCGCACCCTGCACGACCTGGGGCCCGAGATCCGCCGGGCCATCTCTGGGGACCTGACCGCCGAAGAGGAGCTGGACAAGGCCATGAAGGAGGCGGTGTCTGCGGCCTCAGAAGATGACATCTTCAGGGTAGGTGGGCACTCTGGCCGCAGTCTACAGCCTCCATCAGCTGGGTTTGGGGCAGGAGGGTGAGTGTCCTGAACCCGAGGAAACAGCCCTGGGTCTGTGGTAGAACCAGCCCTGTCCCCCGAGTTCTCCCATCCCTCTCCCTCCCCTCCCCTCACCTCTCCTCCCAGCTCTCCCCACCCCACCCCTGCCACTCCCCTCAGCTCTCCCCACCCCACCCCTGCCACTCCCCTCAGCTCTCCCCACCCCACCCCTGCCACTCCCCTCAGCTCTCCCCACCCCACCCCTGCCACTCCCCTCAGCTCTCCCCACCCCACCCCTGCCACTCCCCTCAGCCCTCCCCACCCCACCCCTGCCACTCCCCTCAGCTCTCCCCACCCCCCTCCCTCAGCCTCCATCAAGGCCTAGTCCTGCTCAAGCTCACAGAGCATCCCCTGGAGGAGCAAGAAGCCATTTTCCTAAGGAAGGGCTTCTGAGGAGATGCTTCTTCGTTACACATTGCAAAGTGGTGGCCTTGGGGCCACATTTAAGCCACAAGCCTATCTTGTCTGCCAACCTTTGAATGCATGGCTCATTCAAAAAATCTAGACTTCCAGCCTCTTGCAAAAATCAGAAGACGTGCAGTATCAGGCAGCAGGCACCTGGAAGCCAGTGGTGGCCTGGACTTGGACCATGAGGCCTCCAGTCCCAAGCATCCCCTCCGGCCCCCCACCTTGCTGGGTACTGAGGCTGCCAGCAGTACTAACCGTGAAAACTAGAGCCCGCTGGGATTCTGAGGCCCTTGTACCCAGATCTCTTCACGAACCCCAAGGCACTCGGCTAAAAACCCCACAGCGAATGAGACACTGCCGCCCAGATCTAAGCCACAGCTGCTCACCCTGCCCTCCCAGCCCCGCCAGGCTCCCAGGCGGCAAGAACACGGGGTGAGAGGGGCCCGGACCCTGAGGCCGTCCTGTCCTTGCCGTTCTCCTCCCCATGACTGTGAAACATCCCTCACTGCATGGCTCAGGGACACGCTAGCGTGTCAGCCTGACCTGGGAGACCCCAGCCTGGCAGAGCCTCCTTGCCCAGGACAGGGAGGGAAGCTGGGAGAAACACGGACTCCAAATTTGAAATCTAAGACTCTCCAGGGAAGGAGGCCTTGGTTGCTGTACTTGCTGTGGTGATTCTCAGAACCGCTTGGCCAGCGCAGTTTCCAGCTCACTGAGCCAGCCGGGTCCTTGTCTGTCAATCCCCTTGGCACCTCTGGCCCCTTTCTCTGCGTCTTGGCGCCCACGAGCCTGCCCACCCCAAGGAATGGTCTCCATTCCAGACAGTCGCTGCGCCTGCCCCCCATCCCATTGGTCCTGGAACGAGGTCCTGTCACCCCTCCACCTGTGGTTCCCCCAGAGGTCTCAGGGGACTGCCTGGGCCCTTCCAAGCTGCCAGGCCCGTGGGCGAGAGGCCGGGTCGGCTGGGTGGTGCCCAGCGCGGTTGAGCTCCCTCCCTCCCCTGCGGGCCAGGGCCTTCACCCAGCGCCCTCTCTCTGTCTCTCTTCCCCCGCAGAGGGCCGGCGGCCTGTTCGGCAACCATGTGGGCTACTACCCCAGCGACGGCCGGGGCGCCTTCCCCCAGACCTTCACCACCCAGCGGCCCCTGCACATCAGCAAGGCGGGCAACAGCCAGGGGGACACTGAGTCCCCCTCCCACGAGAAGCTGGTGGATTCCACCTTCACCCCCAGCAGCTACTCGTCCGCGGGCTCCAACGCCAACATCAACAACGCCAACAACACCGCCCTGGGCCGCCGCCCCCGCCCCGCTGTCCACTCGGGTGCTGTCGGCACCTTGGAGGCCCGCGGGCCCCCCTTGTCCCCTGCCATCCGGGTGCAGGAGGCCGCGTGGAGGCACAGCTCCCAGAGGTAAGCAGGGGGCACAGAGGGACTCAGGGAGCAGCGTTTGGCCGGAGACCCACCTCTCGGCCCTCAAGCTGGGGTGGACCACTGCTGCTGCCGGGACCCTGGCCAGGGGGCAGGTGGATGCTCAGGAAGGCACCATGGCCCCACTGGCCAGCACATGTCCTGAGGTGCCCACATCTAGACGGGGCAGAGAAGCCCTGGCCCGACCCCTGAGATGTTCGCATCCTGGAGACACAGCAATCTCCGGCCCCCGGGCCCTCCTCAAGTCTCTGCCCAAATCTGGCCTTGGGGCCAACCGGGCCGGGACGGGCCCCTCTTCTGGAGGTAGGAGGCCCTTTGCTGGAGTGTTCGCCGGCTCTGCTCCAGACTGGGGCGATTCCTGGCCATCCTGCCAGCGTCTCCAGCCCCCGGCCTTTCTCTCCTTCCACTCTCTGCTCCCCGGTGAGCCAGGACCCCCAGCTGGGATGTGCTAGGCTGGTGGTGCCCACCCCACGCTCTGGGCCTTGGGCAGCATTTACATTGGCAGCTCTGGGTTCCACGGCCGGGGGATCTGGCTGCTTCACCCGAGCAGGACTGCAGTGCCAGCAGGAGCTCGGGCCCAGAAGTGACCTCTAACCCCCAACCAGTGTCCTGAGCAGCCTTCATCCCTTCCAGTAGCAGGGTCCCCGCCTTGGTGTCCGTGCCCCCTTCACCACCACGCCTGAGTTAACCAAGGCCCCAGCCCTGGGCCACATCCCTCCCCTTGCAGTCAGCGCTGAGTGGGGGTCGGGCCAGCTCTGCCCCCAGGGTGTGCTGCCCACCTGCTGTGACTCTCCACCCCCAGCTCACCCCGTGTGCCCCACAATGCCCTCCCCCTACCCTCCATGCCAGCGAGAGCCTTCCCATCTCATGTGTCCTTCACCTGGGGGAGGGCACCCCCTCCAAGGGAGGTCAGGGCCTCCCCTGAGAACCGCCCAGACCCTCCCTGAGTGGCTGATGGGCCCCAGGTCAGAGCTGGACAGTGACCCGCACTCAATTCTGAGAGGATGAGCAGAGATGACTCCCAGATTCCCTGTGAGTCTGAGCATAAAGGGACCCTAACTCTCAGGACCTGTAGGGAGAAAGATGGATGCAACGGGAAAGGGGGGCCGGAGACCAGAGCTAAAGACCACATGACCAAACGAAGAGAAGCCCAGGGCCCAGGGGAGAGCTCAGCCCAGGGCACATTCTGGTGTGAAGGGCCTCAGCTCAGGGAGGCTCCTGCTCAGGGTACTCAGGCTCACACCCCTCTGCTCAGAGGACCAAGCCCCTTGGTGAGGCCTCTCCTCCATTCTTGACTCTAAGAATCAACACCAGACTCACGGCATGTCAGCCATGACCCCAGGAAGCTCCCAGCAAGTGCCCCCAGGCCCTGCTGCCTACAGCAGCAGGAGGGACAGCCCCTTCCCTGCCCCCGCCCCAGCCCTTGTGTAAGATCTGACCACCCCACCTTCCAAAGCACCATGTCATCAACTGCTTCATTTGTCACAACCAAAGCCACACAAACAGACAGTTGTGCTGGTGGGGACGCTGAGGCATGGGTGGGCAACGTGACTTGTGCTGGGAGAAACTGACCAGCTCAGAACTCAGATCTCCTTGGATCCTAATCCCGAGGCCCCTCCCCCACGTGGAACCCTAATGGGAACACTTCTGAGTCCGTCAGTGATTGTGTGGACCCTTACCTGCTGGGGGAGGGGAGGGGCTGGCAGCTGCTGACCTTTGTCTCCACTCTGGACTCTTTAGGTGCCCCTCCCGGGACAGCCCGATAGCCATGCTGTGTCAGGAAGAGGCCCCTGGAGACGAGACCTGTGCCGTGCACCTGGATGAGGACGCAGAGCACAGCCGCGAGCCCAGCCTGGTCTCCACGGAGATGTAAGCTCATCCCTCCCTGGGGAGGGGCCCCCAACTCCTCCTCCGGCAGCTGCAAAGAGGAGGGAAGCCCCCCACTCTGGTTAGCCTGATGCTTGCTTGAGAAATGATGCTTCCAGGGAAACATCTAAATGTTGTTTCCCTAAGCTTTTTGACTGTGACCAAACATCGTAAATATAGTTTACAGTGAAGCTCAATAGATACACACGTGCATACCTTGACTGACTCAGACGGTAAAGAATCTGCCTGCCATGCAGTAGACCCAGGTTTGATCCCTGGGTTGGGAAGATCCCCTGGAGAAGGGAATGGCAGCCCACTCTAATATTCTTGCCTGGAGAATCCCATGGACCGGGGAGCCTGGGGAACTATAGTCCATGGGGTTGCAGAGTCGGACACAACTGAGTGACTAACACTTCACTTCATACATTTAAGTGGCTTCCCTGGTGGCTCAGAGGGTAAAGCGTCTGCCTGCAATGCAGGAGACCCGGGTTCGATCCCTGGGTTGGGAAGATCCCCTGGAGAAGGAACTGGCAACCCACTCCGGTACGCTTGCCTGGAAAATCCTATGGACGGAGAAGCCTGTAGGCTACAGTCTATGGTAGGCTACAGTCTATGGGCTCTCAAAGAGTCCCAGGGTACTGAGCGATTTCACTTTCACTTTCACTTTCTATTCCTGAAACTGCATATAATAAAGCTGACAGCAGAGGGCGCCGTTGGCAGCCGTAACTGAGAACACCAGAGCCAGTTCAAGGGAAGGGTTTTTTAACTGCAGATCCGGACCTGTGAGGGGGCTGTGACATTTGCTTAGTCAGTTACAATCAGCACTCCTAAAAGAACGCACAGGAAAATAAAAATAAAAAAAGGAAGCACAGGACAAAATAAAAATAAAAAAAAGGAAGCACAGGACAGGACAGGACAGCAGGAAGTAGCGTGGCCAGCGTCACAAAGGCAGCACTGTTTTGTGAAGCTTTGTTGCCAAGTCTCATAACTCTATATATAACCTGTGACTGTGAGTTGCGTTCACCAAGCTGAAGCTGTGTTAGACGCTTTCCTGAGAGACACGCTTCATCACGGGGAACTGCTCGCCCTTCTGGCTTCTGACGTTCTGAGAAGGGATTACTGCGCGGCCACTCACCATCACCTATGCCCTCCGTGCACGGTCGGTGCTCACAGGCCACTGCCAGGTGTGGGTGAGACATTCAGAGAGGCTCAGGGTCACCCAGAAGCTGGGTCTTCAAGAGTGGGGGCAACCTGAACAGTAAGACAGTGCAACAGGAGGGTGACCGCGCTGACGGTAAGGGGAACATCTGGCGGGTTTTATCCAGCACCTTCCTGGCTCGTGGTCAGCGCACCAGGAGGACAGCTGCTGCCCTGAGAGCACAGGTGGCGGCCTCGTTGGCGACAGGAAGGGCTGAGTGCCGAGGCAGCCCCACTGGGGCCTGTGCAGTCAGCCTAGGGCCCACAGCGGCTGTTTTCAGGGACATGGCCTGACATGGCCCAGGCAGAGCAGCGTCTCGCGGGCGCAGTAGATGCAGGCATGGAGCCTGGGGGTCCGAGTCCAGCCCTCGCGTGTGGCCATCATGAGCCCCAGGCCAGGAGGAGCCGTTTCCCACTGAGTCCCCGTCAGAAAGTCCAGGAGCCATTGACTGACTAGACACCCCAAGGTCCCCCAGCCATCTGTCACCACTGACCACACGTTTGTGCTCCCACTGACCAAGGGTGGGCAGGCCGGGAGAGTGTGGGGAGGCACAAGCTTAGCTCATCCTGGGAGGGGCTGCATAGACAGCATCCATCTGTGACCACGGAGGAGTCCAGGTCATTCCAGAGAGAAGCTGTGGGCCCACAACTGTGTTCCAGCTTTCTCAACAACGGTGACCAACTTGTCCACACCTACCAGCATCAGAGGCGTGGGGGCACACAGGGAACAGACGAGAGGAGCCGGGAGCTTCTGCTGCCCCGTAGCCTGTAGAAAGCAGCGTCGGGGGTCCCCTCACTGAGAGAAGCAGACGTCCTGGGGTGACTGTCTCAAGTCCTCTGTTCCAGGCTCTCCTACCAGGACGACGAGAATCGGCAGCTGACTCCCCCCGAAGAGGACAGGAGGGACGTCCGTCTGTCCCCAAAGAGGGGCTTCCTGCGCTCCGCCTCCCTAGGTAACCCCACCCCCTCCTCTAGAGGCCGTCACCCCCTCCCCGGTGATGACAAGGCACGCAGGGGTGACCAAGGAATGTCAAGGCCTGGCTGCAAAGGCCTCCCGCATGGGCCCCAGGGTGGAGCTGGCCTGGGGCTGGGCGTGTGCTAATGCTACGTTTCTGGTGGGGGCACATCCTCGCCCGTCCCTGGGTGTGAGCTGTCGCAGCCACGTCCTCTTTCCATGCTGAATCATCACTCGTGTGCAGGTCGAAGGGCCTCCTTCCACCTTGAATGTCTGAAGCGACAGAAGAATCCCGGGGGAGACGTCTCTCAGAAGACAGTCCTGCCTTTGCACCTGGTTCACCATCAGGTAGCCCCCCCTGGAGACAGGCTACCCCTCGCCCACGGGCTGGCTTCCCTGTGAAGTGGAGCAGACCTCCGGACCCCCAGTCGCCCTTCCTGTCCCACACCGCTGCTGCGTCCCCTGCCCTGCCCGAATAGCCCCTGGGGAAGGGCTCTGCGCACCCGAGGACCGCGTACCCCTAGGCAGGACACCCAAGTGGTCCTGGAGAGCCCCTGGGAGGGTGGAAGGACCAGCAGCTCTCATCTCCCTCCAGTGGCCAGCTGTTCCCCTCCCAGAACTAACTGTTGCTCGTAGCTAGAGCCTGGACATTGAGCAGCACAAAATTCCATCTGTGAAATATGGAAATAACCAAAGGACCTTCCAGCAGCATGGTCAGGGCAAAGATATGTCAGGAGAGCAGGTCCAGGCAGATTCAGTAGTTGAACTGGCTCTTGGCCTGAGTGACGCCAAATGAGGGGGTGAAACCCAAGACCCCAGCTTCAAGCTTCTCTTAGGACCTTAGGCCCGACAGAGGTTTCCAACAGCTGAACAATCCCCAAGGCCGGTCTCTCTCCTCCAGGCAAATCAGGGTCTAAACTGGACTCTCCCCCACCTTCTCATCTCCTTGATTACACTTCCTTATCACGGGCTCTTACTTCAAATGGCTTTTTTATCCCAAAGGTGTTCGGTGCCCATCAGGGCTTATAGCCAGCACAAGACAGGCAGAGTGGTTCTGCCTGGATGAGGGCACTTCTGCTCAGGTTTTGCTCAGCCTGAGTGCTGTCACCGGAGGACATGTGGTCTCCATGGGACTTTCTGGAATGTCAGCAGCTCTCTGGGGGCCCCAGGGAGGGGAGGCCGGCAGGCTGGGAGACACCACGTGCACTGCTGAGGGATTCCTAGGAGCTGGGCTCTCCGTCTCTGCTGATGGTGCCCAAAGGAAGACCCCTCCCTCTCTTTGCATCCTCCCGTTCTGCTTTCGTGCTCCCCTCCGACCCGTGGGCCATGCTCCCCTCTCTGGCCCTCGGACTGGGCCTCCCCTCCAGGCAGTGTCGCTCCCCATGGCCCATCACGTCAGAGCTGGTGGAGAGAATACACAGCTAACAGGGGCAGGGCTGGGACTATAGGGAAGATGACCGTGAGCCCACCAGGCCTTGGCCTTCTGAGCTCAGGGGAGAAGGATCCCGGCTGACTGATGGTCACAAGGTCTGTTAGGGCAGTTGAGACGAGCTCTGGGTCTGGGTGCGTGACCTCGAGGGTGCAAGCGCCGGGAAGCGTCAGAGACAGGGACAGGGCTCACACTCTCCCATCCTGTCCACAGGCGCTGGCAGTGGCAGGCCTGAGCCCCCTCCTGCAGAGAAGCCATCCCCCCGGGACCCTCCCCCCACCACGCCTCACGCCCCCTGCCACACCCGGCCTGGCCTGGCCTCCACGGCCCGTGCCTACCCTGCGGCTGGAGGGGGCCGAGTCCAGCGACAAGCTCACCAGCAGCTTCCCATCCATCCACTGCGACCCCCACGTCGGGGAGCCCACACCCTGCGGGGTCAGCGGCACCCCCCGGAGAGCCCGGCCCGTGTCACTCACTGTGCCCAGCCCGGCAGGGCCCCAGGGCCGGCCGTTCCACGGCAGTGCCAGCAGCCTGGTGGAGGCGGTGAGTGCTTGGGCACTGCCCGAGGGCCGGGCGGTGGGGGGTTCAGGCAGAACAGAGGGGACTCTGGTTCTCCCAAGCACGTGGAACATCAAGTCCCTCGGCCAGAAACACACTCACTCAGGTCTCCAGTCCACATGCGGGCCCAGCCGGCTGAGGAAGAGCAGTCACACCAGCCAGGAGACCAGGGGAGCCCTGCAGGGAGGGGGCCGTGAGGGAACTCGGAGCGGGAGGAGGGGACCAGGCAGGTGGGGAGCAGACTGGACAGGAGGGGGTCTCCTAGGCTCACCTGCTGCGTCCCCGAGGCCACCAGGAAGGGGGCAGGTGCTTCAGGACAAACGGGCGGGTGCCAGGTGTGTTCTGCACACGCACACACACCACGCACACCCACACACACACACCACACACCACACTGTCCCAGGATCGTCAGCCCCAAAATGCATCCAGGGGCACTGGGCCAGGTGTCACCAGAGGAGCCTGAAGGTTTCCTGGAAAGAGTCACGTGGGGGCTCAGGGCACCTCCAGGGGAGGATACTGGGGGAGGACAAGGGCCCCCGCTTCCTCCACGCATGCAGCCTGCCTGCACTTGACAATGGTGCCCCCCACCAGAGGTCTCTCCTCAGGCCTGCACACCCAAGTGTCCTGGGGGCACTATGTCACAGTCCTTCCTGGCATGCAGGCACATGCATACATGTACACCCATGTTCACACACATGTACGCATACACACACTCTCTTCCCCACGTGACCCCTCAGAAGCCCCTGCGCCAGCCCCATGGGGAAGAACTGGACTCAGAGTAACGTCGCCGGTCTCTGTCCCCCAGGTCTTGATCTCGGAAGGACTGGGGCAGTTTGCTCAGGACCCCAGGTTCCTCGAGGCCACCACGCAGGAGCTGGCCGACGCCTGCGACATGACCATCGAGGAGATGGAGAGCGCGGCCGACGACATCCTCAGCGGGGGTGCCGGGCAGAGCCCCAACGGCACACTGCTCCCTTGTGCAAACTGCAGGGACCCGGGGCCGGACCGAGCAGGGGGCGTGGAGGACGCAGCCTGGGCGCCCAGCGCCGAGCCCCGCCAGGGCACAGAGGAGCCCCGGGACAGCAGGGCCTTCGCCAGCGGCCTGTAGCAGCCGGGCCGGAGACGCCGGCTTTTTATTTGTCTCAATGTTCCTAATGGGTTCGTTTCAGAAGTGCCTCACTGTTCTCGCGGCCTGGAGTTAACCGGAACAGCGTCTTCATTCATTTCGTGGGGACAAGACCAAGTCGGTGGCCAGGAGAGAAGCAGCCGCAGTCCGTGTCCGGCGGGGGGTGGTGGGGGCAGGGGCGCGGGCACCAGGGAGGGGTCCGCCTTGGCTCCCCAGCCCTCACCCAAAGGACCCTATGCTAAACGGGTGTCTTTCAACTTTGCTTGTAAAAAACTCATTTTGCACATATTCTGTATGAGCCTCACTGTCCCCATAGAGCCAGGGCCCTGTGCGTCCACAGAAGGAAAGAGGACCCGGCCCGCCCCTGGGGAGGAGGAGGCTGGCCATGGCCACCCACACCACCTGTGTCTGGACCCTTCCTGCCAGGCCACAGTCATGGGGCCAGGGGAGCGGGCGTGCCGCCGGGACAAGACCGGTGGTGACTGTCCAGCGCGCTTTTGTTTTGGGATTTGACATTTTTCTTGACAGCATGTTGCAGTTTTCATTTGGGTTTTTTTTTTTTTTTTAGTGTATAATTTTGTTTTCCCAGGGGGAGGGGAGAAAGATGAGTGTTTACAAAGTTTTGCAGCCACGCACCTTACTGTCTTCACTTTTGCAAATGTAGATTGGATTTGGTTTTGTTTGTGTTATTTAGTGGTCGGTTTCTTTTTCTGCAGAGGATTCAGCTGAGCTGCCGTAGGAGGGTTTTGTCAGCCATCATGTACACCCAATAATTTGTTATAATTTCCGCAGGTAGTGACAAGATTTTTTTGGTTTGGTTTCCTAATTTAAAGGTGTAGGGTCTTGCACAAGTGTGTATAGTAGTGGGTGCCCGGGGTCTCTGCGAGTGTGTGTGCCGTGTGTGCAGCGGGTGGTGTGTGTGTGGTGGGGGCCAGTCTGCAGCCGCCAGGCCTCCCGCAGGTCCCCTTCAGGCTCAGCTGTGGGGAGGCCTGAATCTGGGGCCGTTTGAAAGCAAAAACAAACCACTGTCTCCGCTTCTGAAACGGGAATCAGTAACTGCATTTTCTGTCCCACAAGATATGCAAAAACAATGCAATAATATTCATTTTAAAAATACAATTGTGAGTTGTGTTGGCATTAAAACTGTATTTAAAAAAACCACACAGAAATTTAAGGGAGAAACTCAGAAGGCTTTTCGCTTCGATTTGTTCTATGTGACGTTTCACTGCGTTGATGGTGTTTCTGCTGAAGAGACCGTTATACTTGAATTCAGGTCAGTCTCAGTATTTTACAAATATTTTTTTAAAACTGAATTGCAATTGTGCCAAGCGAATATAATGAATTAAGTTTGTTTTTGAATTCACTTCTTGTATATTTGCTGCATGTAAGTAAATCATTTTGTATTTGGAGTGTGACAAGCCTTACCTTTGAGCTCTTAAGTGCTTTTCTACGTGTAGCTGGGAAACGGGACAGTTCTTCCTCTCGGTTGCGTGACGAGTGCCGGCACCACCCGTGGGGGTCCCACGCAGGCTTGGGCATCGCTGTTTTGCATATCTTGTGTTTGCCTCCATTTTCCCCAGCCTGGGTGTAGGTGTATCCGTATCTTGCTTTGAGAGACCAGGACTTGTCTATTCCATCCTCACTCTGTCCGCTCTGCCCCGGTTCTTGGATTTGGGATTTCTCCAGGGACAGCCCCGCACCGTGAGGGGTCGTGGGGTGCCCTGACCAGCCTCTTCCATCACAGGCAGGCATAGGGGCCCCTCCCCCAGGAGAGGTGGCTCACCTCACTGTTAGGCATGCCCCAGCACAAGCGTTCCTTAGGAATGTGTCCACTGACCAGAAGGGTGGAAGAGAGGGCGTCCTCAGCTAGACAGCAGGGGCTGGAGCCAGGCAGCAGGATGACATCTCGTCTGTCCAAAGCCAAGTGCATCCGGCTTACTTCTCCACCTTCAGGGTCTCCTCCAGGGTCCGCCGTCATGGACCGTGGAGGGACCAGGATCGAGGGTAGTGCATGGGAAGCTGGTGGTGAGGGTGGGACCAGAGGCCCTGGAGGGGCATCTCTGTTGGGTGCTGAATCCTCAAGCAGATTCCAGCAGTGATCATTAAAACATGCCCAGTTTGGGGAAACAGGATCCAAGCATTCATCTAGACCCTCCCCGTCGAGTCACCTCTGATCCCGGGCTCGCCCAGCCCCTCTCAGCACTGACTCGGGTGAGCAGCCCATTCCTCCATAAAGATGTGCTTTGCTGTGATGGACTGATTTTCCTGTGATGGACTGATGCTCAGCCCCCAGTAAACAGTCTGGGGACAGCAGGCTGCGCCCTGTTGCTCCAGGCCCAGCCCTTCCCATCTCGGGCTTCTTCTCGGTGCCACCGTGGTCTTCTAGACATTTCGTTCGAGTCCCTTGTCCGCTTTCCCTGTCTGCCTCGGCCACTAAGATGTTAGCTCCAGTGGAGAACAGAGCCTTTCGGCCGTGGTGCCTGGTTCCCGCTGTACATTTGGCCCCCAGTTAGAAATATGGGCTCTCAGCGGACCTCCCCCGCACACCCGCACACACATGGCCTCCTCGTATTGCCTTTCGTTTTTGTTTTGCACTTGCCATCTGTGTCGCCAAGTCTCACTGGCCAGCTCGTGCTGGGCTCTGCCAAGGGCACCCTCACCCCATCTCGCAGCACAGGCCTCCTTACTGCCTGCTCGTCTGTTGGGAAGACCTGTCCAGGGAAGGGTCTCCCTGGGCCTGCGCGCAGGCCCGGCTAGCGCGGGACGGACAAGTGACACCTGTCCTCCTGAGCCTCGTCCATAGCGTGGTCTTCATCTCTGCACCTGACTTAGAGCCGTCTCAAAAGCAGAGCCGTCGGGTCTCCTGAAACCCTTGGGTGGCCGGAGAAAAGCCACAGTGGCCGAGGACCCTGCACGCCTGAAGAATTTGGGTCCAGGGTTCGTGAACCTGGCTTGTGTTTGTCCCCCAACAGGCAACCTCTTGTTTCCACCTTGATCTTACAGTTACTCAGGAGCTTGTCTCCTTCCCACCCCCTCCTAGAAAGTTCTTTTTGGTCTTGGGGAAGAGAGGGTGATTTTATCCCCCCAGATTTCAGCTCAATTCATGCATTTTTTTCTGCTTTGGTTCAGAGGCTCTTTGTTCAAGTCGCTTCCCTCATCTTCTCAGTCTGGCTGGACCCCAGAGTCTTGTGCACCCCGTCTTTATCTTCCTCTGTGCTCCGGCTTCCGAGCTCTGGGGGTCACCAGGAGCTGCCCATCACGTCCTCCCCACCGTCCTCCCCTCAGACCATCTCCCCAGTGGTCAGCTAAGAGCACCTTGCCCTCCAAGGCCGACGAAGTGTCTTTCTGAGGAAAACGAGCCCCTGGAAGGGAAAGCTTGGAGGTCATGGGGTGAGGCTTTTCCAGGGGGCGGGTGATAGCATGTGCCCCCACCCCAAAGGCCAGGAAACAGAAGGGACTTAGAGCAGCATAGGGAGGAGGTGGAGGAGGTGGGGAGGGTCAGTGCTGGCAGCCTTGTCACACCTCATCACAGATGTGGCTAAGGACAGTGGTGGCCTCTCCCCGACTCCCCGAGGAACCTGCAGGGACAGGCATGTTATGTCTGAGAGGCAGAAACGGCCAGGGAAGGGAGACCTGGCGTCCACCCTCCAGGCCCCCCGTCACTCCGACCAGAGCTCTGGTCTGCGGCGAGCACCAGCACAGATCCGAAGGGAAATGGGAACCCAGGGCCTGTTTGACCCCCGTGTCTGCGGCTTCTTTTCATGGAAACATCTGTGGTGACCTCCCGCCTTGGCAGGGACAGTAGAGGGGCCGAGACCCCAAGATCTGCTTCAGAAGAAGAAAAAATAAAATTCTGCTCCAGCTTATTTCCCAGCTGAACCACCCTCCAGACATGTGTGGTGTCTGCCCGCCCCGGCCCCCTCCTCTGCAGAGCCCCCTCCCACACATGGGCCGTGGGCCCTGGAGGCGGGGGGGTGGGGGCACCGGGAGAGGCAACCTGAGGTCACCCCGGGAAGCCAGTGTCCAGCTTTCCCAGCAGCTGTACCGTCAGGGGGACCTCCCTCCCTCTCCCGGTGCCCCCCACCCCCACCCCCGTTTTCCCTCCTCCCCTGGTTGGGTGAGAGGGGGGCCCCCCCACGAGCCGATGCTGACGTAGTTTCTTTGTGTCTTAATTTATTTATTTATTTTTATGTCAAAGCAACAAAGCGCTGCCTTTTGGGGCCAGAGAGCAAACTATCAGGTAAATGGGTTTCTGCCTGGTTTCCTGTTGTCAGGGAGATACTTGAGGCATGCCCATGCACACATCTACACATGCTCATGTACACACGCACTCACCTGCACGTGCACGCATGGGCACGTACACTCACGTGCACACACACCTGACGGGCAGCGCTGGCCCTCCCAGGCTGATCCTCCTCTCAGAAGGCTGAGCACTGGCCACGGAGAGAAGCAGAAGTGCCCCCCACCCCGGGGAAAAGGTGCCCGTTGAAGTGACTATAAACTAAATGTCGTTGCCTTTCATCAAGAACATTCCACCACCCCTAAAATCAAAGTTTTCCTGCCGTGAACTCAGGAGACTTGGTCCACAGTAGGCCACGGGGTGGGTGGAAGGTGCCCGGGGGCTGCCTGGAGTGTCAGCAGAGCCCCCTCCTGGGCGGTTGCCCCGGGACGTTCGGGATGTGCTGTGAGGCTGAGGTGGGCCAGTGGCTGGAGCCTCAGGGCAGAGCCCAAGGCAGGATTGTCCCCGGAGTCTCCCTTTCTGCAGGGAATCAGGGACACCCAGGCCCTGGCTTGGTTCACCAGGTGACAGGAGAGATCAGTCGAGCCCGCAGCCTCCTGCAGCGCGGAGGGGCAGCCCTTTGTGGGGCGTTCAGGTCCCCAGTTTTCAGAACAAGTGGTCTAACTTGGATGGGCTCTCGGAAAGGTAGCAGGACACTGAGTCCACGTGAATTAACAACAGTGCGCCATCTGGGATCGCTTGTGCGTGAGAAACAGTTTTCTCCGAGGTCACATCAGAGAAGCTGTGGGGTAGACGCTGTCGTGTTAGGGGGTCGTGTCTGCAGGTCACGTCTGGGCGCAGTGGTGCCTGTTCGCCACGCGGCCCCGAGGCTCCCACGCCACTGTCCTCGGTGCCCTTGGGTCTGTGGGCCGGGATGAGGAAGATGGGGTCTGGCCTCTGTCACCCACTCCCAGCTCCTGCGGGTCCCGACTCCAGGAGCGGGGCCGGGCGGGGGAGGCTCCTGTCCGAAGATGGGTCCCAGCGTGCAAGCTCCCCACCCAACACCTCCACCATGGAGAAGCCACGCCAAGGCTTGAAAGGGAAACAGAACCTGGGACAAGGGAGATGGCTTATAAGCGAACAGCCCAGTGCCATGATCTCCCTCACGAGGCGGCCCTGAGCCCCAGACATGAGGCCCTGGGGGGCCTGCCTGTATCAAGTGCATCCCCCCACCCTCAGAATCCGGCCTTGACCTCCCACCTGATGACCTGCTTCCTGCTTTTCCCCCTCCGCATCCCCGTTATTCCAGAGTCCTGTGCAAGGAAGCTCTGCTCCGAGGCTGAGATGTCCAAGGTGAGCAGGTCTGGACCAGTCTGTGATGTGGCGGTGAGAACCACCCGTGGAAAACATATCCACTGAGAGTGAGGGTGGCAGGCTCCCGCTGGTGAAGCACCAGACGCTACTTTCCTGTTTTATTTGGATGCCCCTCAAGCCTCCCAGCCAAGGTCCTCCATCCGGGAGGGTCCAGACACAGCCCCTCTGCTCCTCTCGTCCCGGCTCGGAGTCCCCCCCAGCGCCCCCAGCCTCAGAATCACGCTGGCTCTCAGACAGGCGGCGTCCCCCCCACACCCCCCACACCTCCCTGCGGGCCCTCTCGTGCTGTAAATACTGTTGTACAGTTTGCAACCATCATCACCCGAGTCGGCGGCCTCGCCCGTGCCCCTTCTCACCTCGAGAAAGGCCAGGGCGTCGAGAAGAGCTTCAGGGCCATCTCTGTGAGACGCTCTGTATATTCCTGTAAGATTGCATTTTTATCTAAGGAATGATGTTATTTAAAAAACAAAACCAAAAAAAACACAAAAAACAAGAATTGCAAATAAATTTCTTAACAATGTCCTCGTTGGCTTGTTCATCTTGCCCTTCTCACCTCCTCCACCGTTTCCTGGACTTGCAGAACCGTACTTAACCCTCCATTGACGTCTAATCCCCAAAGGGGAAACTCAGGGACTCTGACCCTGGGCATGGTCTCCAACCTCACTGCAGTAACTCATTGCATCCCCCATATCTTTCTTTCGGTTAATGGTCAAAGGTTGAAAAGGGACAGAAGAGGAGAAATTAAATAGATGACCCACAAATCCAGATGCTTCTCCTCTACCCACCATCATATAGAAAAAGGCACAGAATTGGTTTTGAATGAAGAAATGACAGGGAGAGGGGAGGGAAGGGGACAGGGGTGGTGGGGGGAGGAGGTCATGTATGTCAAGTCCTCTGGGTCCCCAGCGGTCCAGTGGTTAGGACTCTGCGCTCTCATTACAGACAGTGCAGGTTCACTTCCTATCAGGAAACTAAGGCCCCACAAGCTGCAAGGCCGGCCCAAAAAACCTTTATTTTAAATTACTTTGAAGGCTATAAACATGCAAAGTGAAAGTGAAAACCGCACAGTTGTGTCCGACTCTTTTCGACTCCATGGACTATATAGTCCATGGAATTCTCCAGGCCAAAATACTGAAGTGGGTAGCCTTTCCCTACTCCAGGGGATCTTCCCAGCCCAGGGATCAAACCCAGGTCTCTCACATTGCAGGTGGATTCTATACTAGCAAGGCCACAAGGGAAGCCCAAGAATACTGGAGTGGGTAGCCCATCCCTTCTCCAGTGGTTCTTCCTGACCCAGACCCAGGAATCAAGCCAGGATCTCCTACACTGCAGGCAGATTCTTTACCAACTGAGCTATGAGGGAAGCCCTATAAACATGCAAGCTTCTTTTTTATTATTAAACTGATTCAGACCAACCCTCATAATTCACTGTGTAAAACTAATCAGTCCCAGAAACAACGTGTAAAACTAATCAGTCCCAGAAACAACGTCTTAGTTGGAAAAAGT